GAAGAAGCAATCAAGATGTATGTTATACTTCAAAGCGTAGTGAAGCTGATGAGCTTTCCAATTCCTCCATTTTGCAGCTATTAGGTAATGCACAGATTTAGACCATGACCATAAATAAAGGTCAGGACCAACATGAAAGAACAGATTTCTCTCTCATCCATGATTACAATATGATTTTTCATTCCTGATTATATATGAAATTTAATTTTTTTTAAATGCAGCCCTCATTAAATCCCATTTTAGAAAGAGTATAAGGTCAGCTACGGAATACCTTTTCACGGTATGGTATAGAATGCCCTAATTCTCTTGGGAAATCACTTGCATTAATTTTTCCAAAAAACAACATCCCTATAAACCAGCTGACTTTAAAAAGGATGACTCAGCCGGGCGAGGTGGCTCACGCCTGTAATCCTAGCACTCTGGGAGGCCGAGGCGGGTGGATCCCTCAAGGTCAGGAGTTCGAGACCAGCCTGAGCAAGATCGAGACCCCCGTCTCTACTAAAAAAATAGAAAGAAATTAGCTGGACAACTAAAAATATATATATAAAATTAGCCGGGCATGGTGGCACATGCCTGTAGTCCCAGGTACTCGGGAGGCTGAGGCAGAAGGATCCCTTGAGCCCAGGAGTTTGAGGTTGCTGTGAGCTAGGCTGACGCCACCACACTCTAGCCAGGGTGACAGAGTGAGACTGTGTCTCAACAAAAAAAAAAAAAAAAAAAAAAAAAAGGATGACTCATTGCTCCTTCAGTCTTTGTCATGGAAGAAGCTCCAGACTGTGAGTCAGGAAGCTCAACTGGGCTCTCAAGAGGAACCAGAAAGAATTACTTAAGAGACCTGTTTGTGTTTCTCTTCCGTTAAGGATACTGTTTACAATGGTGTCATAAGGGAAAAAATGAGAATATTCACTGGATCAAAATATTCCATAAATTATTTCCCTCTTGAAACCTCTTCCATGAACTGCACTTTCCAAAACACCAAGGCATTCTTCTATCATATTGGCTCATATTTAATCAGAGCTGCTTTGCATTCATGAATTTTCTTCCAAGGTAATCAGTAGCTCATAAATCACAGGTAAGGGCACAGGGCGGAGCAAAACTGGTTCTATACCAGTTTAAGAGTACTGCTTTTTGCAATGGAAAAGTTTCTCTCACCAGAGTAAAAGCAATCCACTGAAAACCAGCTTCATAATAATCTCGGGAACAATCTGACTTTGCTTATTTATTGGTTTTTTTAAAAAGCTTCATTAACATTAACTTTAGCCAAATTCAAAAGTAAAAACTGTGGGAGGGTTGACTAAACCTCATTTCCTTGTGCAGTTTGTCTCTAAGTGCTTTCTTTTGAGAAGATACGTGCTCAGCCACCAGACGCAGCTCTCCCAAAGAAGTTCGGCTCCCCCACTCCCATCCCCCAGGATTCTCAGCACAAGGTGAGTTAGCACAAGGTGAGTTTTAAAAACTGGTTAATCCCTCACAGTAGTTGAAGGTATGTATATATTCTTTTCTAGAATTCAGGGATTTGCTTCAATAAGGGATGGGGAATCAGACCAAGCTCTCCTTTTTATGGCGTCCATCAACATAACTCCTCAGCATAAAGCAAGCTAATCCTTGGAGAAATAGATCTGTAAACTGTCAGGCTTACTAGCTCTCAAAATGAGGGAATGCCAGTTTTATACTTACATAAAAGAATAGTCTTCATGTACTTTAGCTCAGAATCTGGAAACTAAAGCCACAATTTGTGACTACTTCACATTAAAGAAAGCAAGTTTGTTACAATTCCCAAAAGGAAGTGTATTCAATGTGTCTGTTATGTTTATAGGTTCCAAAGAAAGCACACACTTACCTGAGAGCTAGGCAGAGCATGTGTCCTGCTTTAACTGACGTTGCATTTCTGACTACCTTTCTCCAGAACTTTGATAACTCAATAAACCAAATATTCATTGGTTTCAAAATACAAAAAAATCTAGTTTTTAAGAGTCAGACGATTCACATTTTATTCAATAAATGTCTTCCAACTCTAAGAGAAGAAATCAACCACAAAAGCAAAAGTAATTTCCTACTTTTAGGTTTTGAAATGTGGCAGACAAATACATAGTCTCAATTTATAGAAGTTCACAAGCCAAGAAATACTTAGGTAGTCATTCCCCCTCATTCGAAGTACTTCTGGTGTGTGTAGGGGATGCTAACGTGTGAGACAATTCTTGCCTTAAGGAACTGACTAGAGAGAAGGGAACTGCCTAACCCATTCACATGAATATTAGTCATATACCACCCATCAGTGTCAGGTCAAGCATGACATTACCTTACAGCGATGGCAAACAATGAGAGAAAGGTGCCACGGATTGGTTCCTGTATTCGCTATCAAAATTCAGTATCATCTAGGTTCTGAACTCCCTCTGCTACTAATAAAAAAAAATCAAATCTAAACAATGCACAATGAAACTACTGTGGTTAAACATTGAGCTATGAATCTATAAGTCCAATCAGTCTGACAGTCTAAATTAATTGTCTCAGGAGCAAATACTGCACGTGGCACATGGTCAAGATTTTGCTTTCCAAGATTATACATCACAGGTGATGTCTCAGTTTCTCTTAGCACTACTTAGGGCAACTTGGCCCAGCTTGGGGGTTTCCCTGAATTCCAAAAATGTCTTGAATCTTCTCTATTCTCTCTTTGGATCTCAAAGCTTACTTACTCTCCCACAAAGCACAACGTCTGGATGAGCTTGGACCACATTCTAGGTGTAACTGAAGAAAATGAATACTTACAACATGTGAGATATACTCCCGACGTGCAGGCTAAAAAACAAACATAAGGGCCTCGTTGCTCTGTTCCTAGTTCAAGGGCATGTCTGTGGGCCGGGTAGATGATCAGAAGTATGCACAGTCCTCTGATTTTAACTGTTGGCAAGTTGAGCCACCATACTGATAACTCAGATTATTACATCATGCAACAAAAAACTGTTAACGGAAATTGCTTTTTGTACTCTTATTCTGATGCTCTGCAGGTCCTTTTGAACATCTCACCTCAGAACGAAAGAGGCAGCATGCAAGAGGGGAACTGCAGAGCAGACCTGGAGTCAGGCACTGCTCCACTTTCGTGGCCTCAGTTTCCTTAACTACCAAATGTAGATAATAAAAGTACTTACCTATTTAGGTAACCGAGAAGAGTCAACGAGCCAATCCAATTAAAGCTGATTAATGCTGTGCCTGGCCCACAGCAGTCTCCAATTCAGCTTTTTATCTCATTTTATTTTTATCATTGGTTTAAGAGCACGGGCATTGAATCACTCACACCTGGGTTCAAATCCCAGCGCCGGGCATTGAATCACTCACACCTGGGTTCAAATCCCAGCGCCGTATTACTGAGCTCTATCAGATAGCATTTACTTAAGAAATGGAGCAAGGTATCTTTATAATCTAAGATGTTGTACCCCTGTAGCAGTCTAATGAATAATGGCACTCTCAGAATAATGCTTGTAAACACATTAGGTGAAAACCATAATACAAAGGGAACAAATTATATAAGAATACACCTATCAAATATTTAAAAGAAAAACTGATGGTACAGTACCACCAGTTTTTACTACTGAATTAAACAAGATAAAGCAGCTCCTTAATTTCATAGAAATGGTAAGGGTAAAAGGTATTTTAAGACATCTTCAACAGCGATAGTAAGATTATAAAAACACCTATGGTTTCTATTTGTGATAACATCACAGGTACTGGTACTATGGATTTTTTTTGGTCTATACTCCTACTAAAAAGAAATATTAAATTTCAGTTAGAAGTTAACACAAATAAAGATGCAACTTCTGTTTCTCATCCAATTTTTACTACTTGGCCCCAGGTTAAGAACCACTTTCTTAAAACTATCAATAAAATGGAGGCAGAGGATAAGCCACCCAGTTGAGAGGATTAAATACAAAAAGCAGGTAGCGAATAGGAAGTGCTCCCTAAAGAGAAGCTCTTTTCTGCCTAGAAATTTCTCTCTCTTAGGGAAAAATTTCCGTCTCACCCAACCCAAACTTCAACGCTTAAGCATACTCTCGAGTCTTCAGACCTGAAACTTGTTCAGCCTTGTGAGGCATCCCCAAATCACCATTCCACCTCAAATATCAGCTCGAAGAGCCATTATTTTAAATATGTGATGCCAAACTGCTGTCTCGTATTAATAAAACTAAAAGGTGAAAAAGAACGTATATGTAACTCTTCGGAGCCTTCCGGCTCGCTTTAAGTTTCTACTAGCACCACCGCTGTCACAACTAAAGTGAAACCACAGACAACAGTTTGAATCTCGTCATAACCACTAACGCCTTGTCACCGCTCCTCTTTAACGCTCGCTGCAAAACCAGTTACAAAGCAGGGGCGGCAGGGGCGGCAGGGCCGGCGGTCCCCGCAGCGGCGCTGCTCTGACAGCAACTGCAGCTCATCATCCTCGCTCCCCGCCGCCAGCCCCGGCGCGTTCCCGGTCTTCGCCGACTCAGCAGATTCACGCGAGCCGTGCCGCTTTCGTGGGATCGTACGTTCTAGCAGGCACATATTCAACCACCAAATCCTCGCCCACCCCCTCCCGGGGCGAACTCTGGCTTGACGTCCACTCGGACTTGCAAACTTCCGCACGAGACACCAGGAACGTCAAGAGAACCGAAGGGAGGGTGCACAAAGGACCCAGATGAAAATTTGGGCAAAGGCGGGACGAGTGAAATTAACTCATTTCCCCGAAAAATAACAGTCGTTTTCGGAAGAAGAGAGATGTTCAACTTGCATCTGAACTTCTAACTCAATCGCTCGCCCTCTCCACCGTGCAGAAACGGTCCGGTGTGTCGTCCGAACTGTTTTCTGTCTGACACTCAGGCGAGAGCCACCGCGCCGGGAAGGATGAGAGCGCAATGACAAAGCTGCTTCCTGCCCGGCTTCTTCCCAGCACCCAACCCTCCCCCGCAACCTCGGTGCCCCCGCCACGAACGCGTCCGCAAAGTTTCTCCCGGTGCCCGGCTCACCTGGGCCGGGCTGCCATAGCTCAGTCTACAGAGCCCGCCGCCGTCCGCCCATCAGCGCCTTCCACCCGCGGGCCGAGCCGCCGGCGCCGCGCTCACCATCTGCCCGAGCCGGGCGGGGACGGCGCCCGCTGTCAGGGGACCGACTACCTGCTCCGAGCCGCGGGCGTCCTCAGCGCCGCCCCGGGCGCCGACCGCATTGGCTCGCGCTGATCCTGATGGACATCCGGGCACTGGGGCCCCCGCGGGCGCCGCTCACTTCACAGGAGCCCGGGGAGCGCCGCGTCCGAGGTCGGGGCGCGCGGAGCCCCCGGGGCGGTTTGCGAGCAGGGAAGGCGCAGGGGCGCGCGCTGCGAGCCCGCCGGCGCTCAGCTCCCTGCGAGCAGCGGCGCGACTCGGGCCGCAGTCGGGAGCGAAGAGAACCCGCGTTCCGCCGGAGTTGCGCGAGTTCGCGGGGACACCCCCGTCGGGAAAGTTCTGGTGGTACGGCCCGCCTCCTTAAATGGGCAGGGCGCGCGGCCGGCCGGGCGGGGGCGCCGCGCTCCGACCAGCCCCGCGGTCCGCGCCCGGCCCCGCCTGCGGGCGCCTCGCTCTGCGCTCGTGCCAGGTTCTAGCAACGTACGAACACGCAGTCCCCGGCCGCCCGGAACTCCGGCTCCCATCGGACTATTTGCTGATTGCTGGGACCTTAAAGGCCGCAGAGAGCAGGGAGCACAGCAGCTACTTCTGAGCGTGCCAACGTCTGCACTTAGGAAGCGGCGACTACCGCGCACTTGTTTCACTTTGCTTTCAGTTTTGATTTCTTTACACTGAGACAAACATTTACAAAACGCCCTCCCTTTTTTGGACAGCATGCACATTATAAAGAAAAGAGTAACTCGTTTTAGTCCTTAAGCAATGAAGGGATTCACAAAAAAACAAACAAGCAAAAAACCTGAAAATACAATACAGCAAGCATTATAACAAGGACAAACAAACCACGTCCTACTCAGAGGATCAGGGAAGGCATTTAAATTGTGCGTGAAGAAAACGCAGGCAAAAACTTCGATGGGCAGAGAGAGTAGGAAGTTGTGCTTCAGCATCTCACAGGGGCCACTGCAGGAGCCGAAAACTCTTAGATGAATGCTGCATGAACGCCTGCGCAGTGGCCCCCCCCCTTCTGCTACCTAGAATGGCGACAATGTTGCCCATCTCACAAATGTTGCCCATCTCCAGACTGTATTACTATGTAGTCGTGGAATACGGACATGTTAACGTCTCGGCACTAAAACTGCAACGCTGGGAGGGTGGGGGTGGGGGTGGGAGGGAGGCCCAGTGCATCTCTATCAGGCGTTCTCAAAGTGTGGTTAGCGGACTCCTGGGAGTCCCCAAGACCTTCTCAGAGGTCAGAACTATTTTTAGAATAACACAAAGACATTATTTGTCTTTTCACTGTGCTGACATTTGCACTGATGGTGCAAAAGCAATTATGGGGAAACTGCTGGCGCCTTAGCACTAATCAAGGCAGCAGCAGCAAATGAAACCAATAGTCACTACATTCTTCACCACCACACATCAGCAGTTAAAAAAAAGCCGGTTTCCTTTACGAATGTCTTTAATGAAGCAGGCGGTCGGAATTATTACTTTCATTAAATCTTGACCCTTGATCACAGGTCTTTTTGATGTTCTTCGCGATAAAAATGGGAAGTACCCATGAGGCCCTCGGCTGCACACTGAAGTACAATGGCTGTCGAGAAGAAAAGCACTTGTGTAATTGAGTCGCAAGCTGAACTAGCTGTTTTTTCATACACTACCATTTTTACTTGAAGGAACAATTCGCAAACTGTGGCTATTCTGACTTGGGTATTTGGCAGACTTTTTCTTAAAAATGAACAAAGTTGAGTCTGTTTCTTCGAGGAAAACAACTGACAGTATTTATTACCAATGATAAAATTCAAGCTTCCAAGCATTTTGGAATCTGCCACTGTAAGTTTGACAGCTCTAATAAAGACTTTCCTGATGAGATCAGGGTGACAGTAGTGAATGTGATTTTAAAAGATCCACATAACTTAGTTTCCAAATGACCAACGGTACAACAAAATCATGCATGGGCCCACGGAAAAATACAAGAGACCGATGGATTTTAATGTATCAAAGTTTTGTTGTTTTGTTTTTTTTTTTAAGCTCAGATTCCACAATGCAATTAACCCTTAAGAAACTATGACATGTGGAGTTTTGGTATATCAAACAAGGTATTAACACGCTGACTGCCACACTAGAAAAAAAAATTTTTACTTGGAGCCACAGTGTTTTATTATGAAAATAGAATAAAAACTTCAAAAACAAAATGATCCTTTCTAATTTAATGAAAAATTTGTTATTTATTATTTTCTGCAAGTGAGTTATATGCAACTTGGAAATAGTTTATGCGGGTCCCAAGGTAAATAGACATGTGAATTACATATGCTTCATGAGGCCCAAGCTCAAAACTAGTGTGAGTTAAATACAACTCACATGGCAGTTAATGTGTTAAAATATTCATTCCATTGTGTGTAAAGATGAATTTTCTTCATAGACTTCAACCAAAACAACACTGCAACAGATTGAATAGAGAAGCAGATACAGGTTGAGCATCTCAAATCCAAAAATCTGAAATCCAAAATGCTCCAAAATCCAAAATTTTTTGAGTGCTAACATGACACTCAAGGAAAATACTCATTGAAGCAAGTAATATACAAATATTCCAAAATCAGAAACACTTCTGGTCCCAGGCATTTTGGATAAGGGATACTCAACCTGTATGAGAATCTAGCTGTCTTCTGTTAAGCTAGACAGTAAAGAGATTTACATAAATGTAAAATAATGCCAACTTTTCTAATTTTTTACCTTTGGAAAATAGTTTCTTTCAGTAAGAATGTTATTGGGTTTTTTAATAATTTAAAATATTTTAAATACTTCAATTTTAATTTTTAGTACAGTAAATATCAATATATAAAAACACATATACAAAAGCTCTTTGGGTTCCACAATAATTTTGAAGTGCAAAATTATTCCATGCCCTTTGCTAATACTTCCATATCTCTCTCCCCTCTCCACATTCATTTCTTCTTTTATATTAAAGGTAATATTATATTATAGCTATTCCCACACAACCGCTTAGCACCTAAATCAGTTTTGGCAAAATGTGGTCAAATCACCTGGGGTATATGTTAACAGACTCCAGGTCCTTGTTCCAGAAGTACTGAATCAGAATCCTTGTGGGCTGAGGTCCCAGGGATATAGATTTCAACATATTCTACAGGTAATGCTTGTGGTCTGCTTATATTTGAGAACCACTTACCCAGATCATGCATATTTAGAAAATCATGTAAAGAGTTGTTTGATCTAGTATGGATTTATAATCCCTGGTTCATTTTGAGGACCATAATTTATTGGCCAGCATTTATTTCCCTTCATAAGAAATTTATATCAGACAATAAAATATCATTTTACACATATATTCTTTTGTAATAGTAGAGTGAAAAACCTCTAAGGAAACAAAGTATAAATTCAAGCAAAAGTCTACCCCCAACAATTTTTTCATTGGTGTTTCTCCCCATTTTCCTGTTGCTGTTTTATCTACACCAATTGCCATCATTTATGCTGTAACCAAATTGGTATCAGGCACAAAAGCTGAAAAACTACTTCATAATAACATTTACTCATAAAATTTCCATTTACCACAGGCTAGAAATGTAACGTTCCTGATATTAAAATAGCACTTTGTGAACTGTGTTAATTGTTCTGACATCATTTAAATATGAGGAAATGAAAAAATATAGCAAATATTTACCCAGAAAGAAACATGGAATCGCCAGCAGAGTAGAATGACACCTGGGATTCTCTGGGCTCTCAAAATGGTTTGTAATGTAAATTAGCGAGGGTAATTCGAAACAGAAGTGGGATTACACTAGGTCTGTAACAGATCTAAAATTACTAGAGGGAAGTACAGGAGAAGTTATTCTTGAATTAGGACACTATGTGGCGGAAGAAGTACTGCAATACAAACATGGGCGTTATTATTTACAAGTGTTCTGAAAACACCACTGTGTCCAACCCACAGGCCTGTTCAGCAGTGAAAATGAACACAAGGCATTCTTAACCTTTTGGGGGGCACAGAATTCTTTGGCTTTCTGATGAAATTTGAGGTTATAGAACCACGCGTACAACATTTGCTACACTTCATCGGTGTGGTTCACGATTCCCCTGGAGCCCACTTAGGAAGCACCTGCTGCTCTGTGAGCTTCAGGTTAAGAATCCCTGGGCCCTCGTCCAGCTAACAGACCCAATTTATCTTACAAATAAGGAGTAAGATCACTCGTCAACCTTTGCTGCCCATTTAAAAGCTTAGAGCTGTCTTAATAATTGCCTACTACGGGGAAGAATTTCTCACGAAAATAATGGAAAGATGTTGCATGACAAAACATCGTCTTCATCTACACAACAAAATAGCAAGTTTCCCTGTGCAGTGATAACAGGCTCACCAGTTCTACGGTTTCTTCGTTTATTAATCCTATAGTCATCAAGTGTGCTAAAACCAAAAGAGTAAGGGATGTATTTAACAATTACGGCAGAATTTGATAAGGTGAGTGAGACAGCTCATTTTACTATCGGAAATGGGTTCTTGAATCACAGGGGTACCTTTTTATTGGCTCTTTAAATTAATGAGCTTTATAAATGACCCTTGCACGTATATAACAATATATGGTATATGTAACACATCTTAAGCACAATCATAATGTGCAGCAAGTAGATCATGTTTATCCAAGAGCGAAAATGGAATAATCTCTTAAGTGTTACATCATCTACATGGCAAAATATAGACAGATTTAATATCTATGCATATTCTAAATGTTTCAGAGTATATTTACTTTTTTTTTTAATTGAAGAGGTGGAAGGCAAAATCTTTCTAACATAGTCTTACAGGTTTGCCTTATTCAGAACTCTAAAATACTTCTTTCAATGTATGCATTTGTACCACAATGATCATTCAACAATTCTATTCTTTGTAGCATTTTTGGTCGAAAAGTTACACAGGTCAAATCCACTAAGAACTGCTACTTCGTGTCAATGGAAAGTTTAACGAGGACACTGCTAAAATCACTTTGCCAAAAG